ATCCCACATTGAAGCCTATGAAAAAGCATTGTAAGTATAAATAGTTCATGGGTGGTGCATTACATTACGCGCGTGTGGAAGGCAGGCGCTCCATGGATGCTCTTGCGTTCGCGTTCACGTCCACGCATGTACGCCCGACTCTGCTCATTTGCCCATGTTTAATGACATCATGAACCGGCCCATGACGTTAAAGTCGTTCGATTCTTATGATTTGTTTCTAGACATGGGCGATTTGCGGTTTTACGCTAGAATCGACACAGGATGACCGATTCCCATGTTGAATCGGTCGAGTCCGTTGTGACTCGACGATTTTTTAATCCCTGGATTCACCTATTTTTTAAGAATAAAGCTTCAATATTTCAAGTGATTTGGATTTGTAGAAAACAAATTAAAATTCAAATACGAAAAGCAATTGTGACCATTAGATCAGCCCAGATTCAATCTGGGCCATTAAACATTTACTATAGTTGTCAGCTAGTAGGCAGACCATAGACATCATGCTAGAATGAGTTGTGAATGGTGGATTTACTATGTATTTTTTTGTAAAACAAGTTATTTTTTATGGTATCCTGCTCATCAAATAAAGGTGGATGTATAAATATCACTAAAAGATAAAAGGTACTTTTGTCATCTTCATAAATGATAAAGTTGAAAATTTTACTTAAAGACAAGAGCATTCCACAAATAAAGTTTCAAGACACTAAGTTCCTAACAGTAATTGTACTTTTGTAAAAGTTTCAAATTTACTCTTACTTAACGATTAAGTTACTTATTATAATATTTTCTAAACAAAAAGTAATGATTTATGATAAATACACCGATCACAGCCCATTCTAATATTAACCTTAATATTTTGAGGGGTTGTTAACTCTTGAAATATCATAGTTATCATTTTAGCCTTTTCCCAATTAATTGTGGTCGGCTACATGAATTCTGGTTTTTCATTCTGCTCTATTAAAGGCTATATCCTCAGTGTGGCCATAAGTCCCTATATCTTTTCGAACTACTTCTAACCACGTCCTTTTGGGCCTACCCCTTGCCCTTTTCAGTCCTTCCACTTGAAATAACTCGCATCTCCTAACAGGTGTTGTACTTAATCGGTGCCACACATGACCAGCCCACCTAGGTCTACTCTCTCATTTTAGCGCCTATTGGTGTCACGCCTAAATTCTCTCGAATAGATTCATTTCGAATTCTATCGCTTCTTGTCTTGTCACTCATCCATCTCAACATCCTCATCTCCGTTACACTCATTCTTTGGGTATATTGTTTTTTGTCCTCCCAACATTCCGCCCTATAGATCTAAGCTGGTCTCACAGTTGTCTTACAGAATTTGCCCTTCAACCTCATTGGTATGTGGAAATCACATAAAATTTCAGTTGCACATCTCCACTTCACCCACCCAGCTCTGATTCTATGTGCAACATCTTTCTTCGATCTCTCTATTTTCCTAAATTATCGACCCAAGGTATCGAGAGAGAGAGAGAGAGAGAGAGAGAGAGAATATATATATATATATAGGAGGAGAGAGAGTAGAATATGCAGAATACAAATATGGAATACAGCATCACTTGAAATGTGTGTGTGTATATGCAGGATGTATATGTATGTATGTACGTAGTCACTACCTTTTCCCCTTGGGGAAACATCTCCTCCAAAGCTTTCATATCTTCTTCTAGGAGAAGCAATTCCTGAATGAAGATAAAAGTATGTGATTAAATTATCATGAAAAAGAATACAAATAGTGAGTCTCCAACAATATTTTGCACAAGAGGACATGAAAAAGATCATTCTTCTCCTTACGGGAAGACGATGCTCAACAGAATGGATTGGTCTTGTAGTGAACATGTAATACAGATTATAAAATAATCTCAGAGAAATATGAGCATACATAATTATCAAAGATTCAAATTGACTTAAGTGCACTTGACTTGAGCAAATAATTTAACCATATTTTTAAATACTCAGAACAGATTTCAGGTTCTCCAAGAAATACTTTTGAGGATGAGAACAATAAGAACAAGTAAACAGGAAGCAAGGAAGGGGAAAATATGATGGGAAACATGAAGTTAACTTTACTCAACGAAAAATATGATGGAAAAAATGAAGTTAACTTACTCAAAAAAAAATATGATGGGAAAAAGGGGTATCAAAAGGAATACTTGCTCAATATGAACATGAAGCACACAGAAAATGTAACCTAGCAACAATAGGGACTACATAGCCACTGTTGCCATTTCCACAAAGTCATACAAATCCAAAAGTTGAGGTCCAAAGAAGGTGGCCTTATAACCATCCACTAGGAGAAATTATAAGCTCTCATGAATAGACGAACACGTGTGATAATCGTAAGTAATGATACACAAAACATACCTTTTCAACTGCCTTCACATTTTTGCGCCATTTTCTGCCCTTGGAACCACTTTTCTCTTCCTGATGAAGGGTAGCTGCTGCTTTCTTCAACTCTCTTGCCTTTTTCCCTAACTCAGTTGCCTCCTATGAAATTCAATTTTTTCCATGGGAACAATTTTTTATTTGTTTAAAGAAATACCATGGGAACAATTAGTACATATAACTTAATAATAACGAGGAAAATGACAAGTAGCAGCAGTTCATAGCTGTGGACTATAAGGTAAGATGCCACCTTAATATACTGAGAACGAGTAATAACAGCTTTTGGCCGACGAATGAATGAAAATATAAGTCCCAAAGGCAAACAAAATATGCCCACACCTCCAAATATCTGAAAAGGGACACGAAGGAAGCAATATTAAAGAAACAGAATGACACTTCAAGGAAAAATTTCAACACACATCACAGATGCAGATATGCCCGCATGACTTGGAAATTTAAGAAAATACAAGTATAAAATGAATGTTATCTAATTCCCAGTAGCAGAAGTCAAAATTTATCTATGTAAGCCTGAGAAAAAATATACAAACAGGAGAATCAATCTAAATAATTAGATTACTCTGCAAAGCAAATAATGCAGCAATCATAAATTGTAAAATCCTAATAAAATTATCTATTCAATGATACGATTGAGCAATACCATACGGGAGAAATGGATGACATATATAGCAACATAACTTTATGGGAGAAAACCTTCATCGCCGAGAGGCGCAAGTAGTTATAAGACGCATCTCCATAGAACAACCCTGGCTCAAAGAAAAGTCTACAATCACCACAGCTTAAATCTGTCTTTCTTTGCTATTTTGAGATAGATCTTTTGTTATTTATTAATGACCATTAACAACTGAATCTGCAACATCGAGATCTATAAGATGCCAAAGTGCTTTATGCGACCAAAATACCTAGGGATTAGGATAGGATGACCATTAAGAACTGAATCTGCAACATGGAGATCTATAAGATGAATAAGTGCTTTATGATATCCATTTTTCAGTTTTTTAAAGACCCCAAACATCTCCAAAGATATTATAATTCAAAGTAGAGAACCTATCTTTTGAAATAGAGCACTAGTCGAGCAACCCACTGGGGATCCCATAAACTCTACAATCACTCCCCAGTTTCAGAGTTTCATGGTAGTTACCCACAAACCCCACATGCATGCAAGCAATGCACAAGCAGGTGGTCCATTGCCTCCTCAACCTCGCATAAATGAGGCATGTGATTGGCATCTGATTCTTATGGCTTTAAATATGAGTTCCACAGCTTTCTGGGTGATCAATCATAAGGATGTTATCCAAGAGGGCCATCCAACTAAAAGCAGAAAGACATAGTGGGGACTCCATGCAACCTAGGGAGTCCTCAACACCCTCTCATTTAAGTTCACAAAAATTCCAAGTTCCATCCTAAATTGTTCCACTTCCACAATGGCTTATCCAATGCCACCATCAGTATGAAATCTTGTGTCAAATAAATGAATGTCTTCTGCAAAATGTTTAGTGAAAAGAACAAAAATTATCCCTAATTTATTACAGGCTACAAATTCCACAAGTCAATTGACAGATCTCTTACAGGAATTAAAAGTTAATCACAGCACAGAAGGGCATATTACATCTATATTCCCCAAAATACACCGAGCTGGATCTTAAAGGGCCTGAGTGTTACTTCACAACATACAACATACAATAACACCTTTAGTCAATGCATGATTGGTATATATAAAATTCCCCACAGTATTCCAATCACCACGAACTAAATGTTGATAAAAATGGAACAGGTATATTAATATGTTCTTTGAAATGCACAATTGTATCATTTAAAAACCAATCCATCAAGGTCAAACCATTTCATAATAGTGATGCGAATGTGCAATGCATGATTTTACCTGACCCTACAATACATATAGATGATGAGAAAGATACTTCTACAAAAAAATTCCCATGATTTACTAAATATGAAAGAATACAAAAATGAAAGATTCCCCAAATAATTAGTAAAACTTAAGAAGGATAACGAATAATAATAAAGGATTATTAAGCCTCTCGTCTCCTACAAGCCCCACTATAAAAACCTAACAATTAAGGCATTGTTTAGATGAAAATGAAAATGAATCTACGATTTTTTTTAAATGTAGATTGTCAATTTGTCATCTCATGGATATTTACACACTGCATGAATATCAATCCATAGTTCAAGGTTGTTGGGTGTCATTTGACTTGACAGTGCACCCTCAACTGAAAGTCATTGAGATCCACGGAAAATTTGAAACCCACAAAGTTTACCAAAATTCTTCCTCCAAAAACCCTCATCCATGAAAATGGCTCCCCCTCTTTATCTGCAAACTAAATTCATGAAAATGGCTCCTTGACTTGATGTATACCTTCTCTTTCGTTCTTCATCCCCATTATTCATCAATGGCCATTAACGATGTTCAATAAGTCGGAAGCGGCTGCCTAGGCCCCCTCCAAAAAACCCTCATCCATGAAAATGACTCCCCCGCTTTATCTGCAAACCTGATTCATGAAAATGGCTCCTTGACTTGATGTATACCTTCTCTTTCATTCTTCATCCCCATTATTCATCAATAGCCATTAACAATGTTCAATAAGTCGGAAGCGGCCGCCTAGGCAGTGGGGGGAGGGGAGGGGGGGGGTGGGGGTGTTGGGCCGTCTAAGAGCCAAGACCCAAAGGCAGCCAGCGTTGTTTTTTTTTTTTGAAAAATTTGGATCCCCCACACCTTGCCCTCATTTTATTGTAAAAAAATTGTTTATTTTATTATTTAATAAGTAAATTTTTTATATAATATATTGTTAAGATGCCGGAAACCAGAAGCACAGATCAAACCTAAACATTTACAACTTTAGACTATAAATGAAATAATTATAACTCAAAAGCAAAATTAAAAGATAAAATCAACTAGAGATGTCATTTAAATCTCGCAAATCACAAGTCACAAAAGTTTCAAAAGTCATTAGCAAAAAGTTGGGATCCCAAATCTCCTCTTTTACAACCCCCTATAAGCCTCAACAAGATTGGGGATGAATATCCTTTAATATCATGACCATTCAATGATTTCGAAAAAAATTTCAATCTCTCAAAAAATCTTCAAATTTAGTTTTTTACCAGTTGTTTCTCACTCTAAAATTCACTAAAATTGTTTTTGGTGGAAAGAATGGCCCCCCAAACCCTTATCCCCCCTTTTTCAAGGGACATTTTTTGCCCCTTCCCGATTTTTTTTCCACCAAACTCGTGTAGGCCGTCCAGCTGGCTGCCTTTTCCTGCCTTTTCAACCGCCTAGTCAAGAGCCTAGGCGGGCGCCTAGTTCTGGCCGCCTAATAGTGTCCGCTTTATAAATGCGTAGGCGTTTTATCCAAAAGTCCGCCTAGGCGGTCGAGTGGACGACTTTTCGAATATTGGCCATTAATGTTTCTCTGTCGCTTTCTTTTGATCTTAGTTTTATTATCTTCTCTGATTTGTGCAAGTTCTTCTCATCCATTAAATTCCTCCATGACAAGTGCGAATGATGATGTATACGATGTGCATGTTGATTTTGTAAAAGAGCATCCCTAAAACCCCACCAAACACCTTCAGCCCCTCCCTCGCCACCTCTCTCAAAACCCGCCATAACTCATTCTGCCCCCTGTCCACCCACTCGATCCAAAACCTAAACAAATTCTTCTATGATATTTACAAACAAAGTTATCGCCTGATGGTCCCAACCATGGTTTCGAATGGCATCCAACCATGCCCTAAAGGTTGAATGGCAAGCTATCTCCAACCTAGGATAAAGTAACTTGAATGTAAGGAGCATTTACCTCCAACTTAGATTGAAAACGGAATATCGATTTCCTTATTAAGTCACGATAGGGATCTAAAAAGTTTTCTTAACAGAATCTCTAAAATTTAGAGATCTCTACTGTCTGGGATGGGTTACAAAACTCGATAAATAACATTTGCAAATGAGAGAAAGTATAGGTGACATATCAAAAAGAAATAAAATTTTGGCAAGCCCACCTTGCCCTATAATGCTCTATTTAATATTCCTTTCTTAATAAGCCTTTACTATAAACCATCTCTCTCAATATAGGGTCTGTCCTCTTTTAATCAAGCAAACCATTTCTATGTGATTCTTACTATGAAACATTGAAATATCACAGTTTCCTACTACATAAGTAATTACCTGCTCTCTCTCTCTCTCTACTTTTACAGAAAAGGGAAGCAACCACTATTCATATGTTCGGTTACCAAAAACAAAGGATGTACATAGTAGATAAATGCCACTATTCATATGTTTGGTTACCAAAAACAAAGGATGTACATAGTAGATAAATACCAATATAAGTAAGCTTGTTAGAGTAACTAAGAGAGTAACCAAGTTTGAATGTCATAACCAAATCTCAAAGTGCTTGTGGGGAAACATAGGGACGCAAACACTTACAGTGAAAAGTACTGATCCTACAATGGTGGCAAGAGCAACAACATATTCTGGAAAGGTAGTCCTCATAGTCCAAGTGGTCTCAGCAGAAGCAGTCGTGGAATATGCTGCACACTGTCAAAATGCACAAAAGTAGTAACCAAAACACGGCATTAAGTATGCCGCACACTGTCAAAACGCACAAATGTAGTAACCAAAACACTGTATTAAGAAAAAGTCGCTAAAGGCAAAGTTTTTTCCTTTAATTTTTTTTATGTTCCATTTAATTAAATGTTTCATGGCAATAAGGCTTTTTTTATATGTAACATGCTTGCATATATAATAAAAAAATACATCACAGAGAGAGAGAAAAGGGGGGGAGAAAGAGAGAATTGGACAAATAGATCACCATATTACACTCTCATATTACTATTACAGTTTACATCAACTAAAGAGCTTGAAAAAAGATTTCTCTACTTTCACTATTTTCCCTCCTCTTCCCCTGAATCTCTCTCGCTCTCTCTTCTTTTATCGCTTTCTCCCTCTCTCTTCTCCCTTTCTTTCCTCAACTTCTTTCTCTCTTCCTAAATTCTTCTCACTTTTTTCTGTTATCACAAACTTGTTTCTCACTCCCCCTGTTTCTCCCCAATTTCTTACACACCTGGCTTCTTCTAACTCCTATTTTAGTGTTGAGCTCCAGTTTGTGCGTAGCTTTCACCATTTTTTGCCCTACTAGGTAGCTTTCAGCTTTTTGCGAGGTACATGATCCACGGTGGTGTTGCCACGTTTTGCTGGTACAGCATCAACAGTTGGGTTGCCTCTTCTATGACGCCTATCTTCTCTCATTGTCAGCCCCTCTTCTCTCTATCTCGAGCCCTCTCTACCCCCCCCCCCCCACAACCAAAATCTTTTCTTTTACATATTCTTCCCCACCCACCCCCATAAAAAATAAAAAATAAAAATAAAACCAAAAAATCTCAAATTCCTCTCTCCCCTCAATCTACTCTTCTTTCTCCTAAGATATGCAAATCTCGAAAGTGGTGAGCTCCCACCACCTCTGTTTACCTCTAATCATCTCTTTTTTTATCTTTCATTTTTCTTTTTTTTTTAGTCAACAGTTTTTAAAATTGTAGAGCACCAAGATTGTGGCCGCCTTGCCTCCCTCACAACTCATGAGAAATGTGCAACTACTTCTAGACATAATACATATTGTAAACATTTTGAAGAAAAAAAAACAGGAGCTTAAGAGAAAATAACTTTGAAAATATACTTCTAGAAGCCTTGGGAATCAAAACCAATTATTGTACATGCAAATAACTATTTGCTCCAATTTATCTGTCGAGCAACAATTAGCAATGATTTTGGGCATTTAAACATTGATTATTGGAGTATTGGGTATGAGACTTGGGGATAGCGGTTCAAAGGAATTAGGAATGGTGCCATTAACAATATACTAATTAATTTGAAACATAAGTATAAGAAGCCCAAAGTAAAACACTTTAAAGAAACAAACAAACCCAGAGGCCTTTTACAGTACAGCCAAATCAAATTTCTCGCTGGTGATATTCAGGTGCATAAACCTTAGAGAGAGAGAGTTGTGTTTTTCTCTCTGAGCCAACCTTCATATTTATGACTAGGATATTTGCTAGCACCTTAAATATGAGGCCTGCCTCACATTGTTTCTCGCAACTATGCTCAACTAGGTCACGTGCTTTGACAAAACAACCAGGAGGATATTATATTTTTAAGGCCCATATTACCTGATGAGATGCTCCTAGACATGGTTGAGATCTTGAAAGGCTAGTCCAAGTACTCGGGAAGCTAGCTGTAGATGAGGAGAGATGCATAACAGTGAAGTCTACCTTACCAACAAGACCTGACATCATCAAACAAGAATTAATCAATGCAATATACATAGAACTCTTGCCAATGAAATAGATTTAGTGAAGCCAAATATAAAATTCCACTAACTCCTATGAACCCAACAAAAATAGATTTCACTCCTTTGTTTATTGGTTTGGGGAAACTTTCTATGTGACCCCACCCACATAGAAAAAGTCCGTGACTAGTATTTCCCAGCCGTCAGATCTAAAGGGACGGCTGAGAGCCGGTTCCCAAGCTTATCCCAATTTTGTGCCATTTTGACTGGTGTTATCCCAGCCGTCTCATTAGATTTGACAGCTGGGAAATACTAGTCACATATTTTTTTCTATCTGGGTGAGGTCACATAGAGAGTTTCCCCTATTAGTTTTGGATTCGGTTCCTAATCTATCAGGCCCAATCACTAACTAATTCTAGAAATGGTTTATGGCAATTCCAGAAATGATACATGTCATGCAGTATTGTAAATTAGTCAAGGGAAACATATAATACATATTAATCAATAATCTTAAGGAACAAGAAAGCACGAGCACAATCAATGTGCATGAGAGATCATTAATATTGAGAAATTCATAGTTCCAGCATAATATCCATTGTAATCAAGCAGCTATGTGAAGTAGGAAAACTAAGGGTTCAAATTCTGATAGTCATGCTTGACTCCAAATAAGAGTGCCACAGTAAGAAGATTGAATAGCTTCTAAAATACCGCACTATGGTTTTTGAGTATAAAATTTGCTGTTTATAGTATGTTAATGTTCAAAAATGCGGATTCCAGCGCCTAGGCGTTTGGGTGCCTGGCCGCCTAGGCGGCCGGGCATCCTCCCAGGAAGAGGGTACCCTCACAATCCCCTAAAAAATTGAAATCCCCCCTCTCCCCCATTGATATGAGTTTTAAATGAATACGTAAGATTAAGATGTTACTATGTTAGTTTTACAATAAGACTTTACTCATTAAGATATCATATAATTAAGAATTTAAGAATAAAGATATATGATATGATATCATTAAGATGTTAGTTTCGAAACAATATGACTTAATATTACTTTACAATAAGACTATTTATAAGATCTTAGTTTCACTTTAAGAATTAAGACTTAAATTCATTAAGATATCACATAAATACATAATCAATTATTTATCAAATAAAGAAAAACAAAAATAATAGAATAAAAAAACATGACACATTGTACAAAAAATGAATCAACTATTCATAAAACAATACAATATATGCTCAATTTCATCGTCCCAGTGAGAAAAAAATAATTACTCACAAAAAAAATCAATCTTTTTACCTACAAGCATGTAAATATATTGTAAGAGAAAAAAAAAAAGGTAATAGAAAATACATATGATTCACAACATAATATATTGTAGCAAAATAAAATCAAAACCCTCTTCCAAATATGATAATACTTTAAAATATCAAAATCAAGTCGCTGTCGGTGCTAACCTCATCCATTGGGTCGCCAAAAATTCTCAAAATCAACTATTAGAAGCTCCAAATCCACCCACGAACTATTGTCTTTGTTTTGAGAAGAAATTGAAAAAAAAAAAAATTATCGAACTTTTAATTAATCACAAAAGAGTGATTTTTTAGAGGTTTTCTCACCCTAAAAGCTACAGTATTTGGTTTGGGGGTTTAGAATACCCCCAAAACCCTTTTCCCCCCTAAAAATTTAAAATTTTTGACCCTCACCGAGGTTTTTTTCCGCTTGTCTGCAAAGTGTCACAGGGCGGCGCCTAGGCGGGTGCCCAGACAGTAGCACCTAGGCGGCCGCCCAGAGACATGGTGCATAATGCCCTTGCCCAGACAGCGCCTAGGCGTTTTTTGAATTTCTTCACCTAGGCAGTCGGACGTCTGAATTTTCGAACAACGGATTTTGTATGGGTAATGCAACAACACAAATGCTTGGATTAGATCAGCAGCAGAAAGATCATCATGAAGTATAAGCACAAGGTACATTGCCATATGCAGAATAAGATTATTCGGGAGGTTTGAGACGGGTTAGGCCTCCATGACCTCAATCCCATAACTACAAGTGACGAAACAGGCATTGGATTCTCACACTAATATTTACCACTCATAATTCGTTCAAGAAATGACAGATTGCAACATCATATACAAATCCTTGGATATGAATGGAGAAACAATCATGAATCAATAAAATCTTGATAAAATCAATATTAAGCTCCAAAAAATTGTCAAAAATGTGGACATGGGACAAGAAAACCAACCGTAGAGAATACCAAGCACAAGCCCGCATACAATGGCAGTCGCAACAACCCACATCAAAGCGCTCAGGACCCGTTTCCCCACGCTCCTGTTAAATTTAACAGAAGCTACGTGAACAAACCCAGCAATTTATTTGGGGAAGAAACCATTTACATAAAAAAAATATATATATATCCCCATGAATTGCATGCTGAACCCTAAATTTACTTTTGATAGAAAAGAATTCTCTGTGCATTTGATCAATTAAGCTATCTATTACGAGTACAGTCAAGGTCTTCCTCGAGGTAATCTTACAACTCTACCATATAAATGAGCCATTCAGATCTTCAAGAAATAAATGGATAAATGAGAAGGGAAAAAGACAGAGCGACAATCAATAGGGAAAGCACGGCAAACCCTAACGCAAGCAATATTAGGAAAGGAGAGGAAAAACGAAAAGGGGAGATATGGACCACTACTTACTTGTCCTGATCACCCTCGTAATAGAACATGGCGAAGGGGATGACGAAGAAGACGAGGATCGCATCGACAATGTAGATGGCGAGCCACAGGTCCTTCATTGGGAGGGTGAGGTTGCAGGCCCCGTTGTAAATGGAGTTCTTGCACGCCTGCCTGTTGGCCACATCCGCCGGAAGCATCAGGATGGAGATGGCGGCCACCGAGAGCCCCAAAACCACAATGAATTTGGGGAAGTAGGCCTGGTTCACATCGTCCGGGTGCTGGTAATTGATCAGCAAATACACATTGAATATGAACACCAGAACGCATACCACAGCAGCCACAATCACCAGCGCTAGGTTGAAGTCCCCCATCCCCTAAAAAACCCTTTTCTTCTTATTTTCCCTCCAATTTCTCTCTCTGTTGCCTTCTGTATCTGTATCTTTTAATGGTGATTCTGAATTGGATTACGGTGAAAGATTTGTTGCTTCAATTTCTCCTTTGATCTGTAAAACTGAAAGGGAAAATGTTGGTCTTCTTCATTCTGAAAGATGAAAGAGAGAAGAAGGCGCCTGCCTCTCTTCTCCCCGTTCCTGCAACACAAGTGACGATTATAACCTCGCTCTAAATATGTATTCACTAAAATACCCCTCACCCGCGTTCCGAATGCTGTCTTCTTAAATAAATAAGACAATGTGAAAAAAAATTGTTTCCGTTTGCGAAAGGGTCGAAAAAAGCTTTGGTTTGACAGCTTGTCCAACAACTCGGCCAGCTCTACCGTATCATTCCCATCTTTTTTTTTCTTTTCTTTTTTTTTATTATAGAAAAAAAATTTATAACATATTATCTACACCGTCCATTTTCAAGATTTTTCACATGTTTACAGATCTACTTGATTTTACCCATTCTTGAAATTTAAAATTTTATAATTATATATAAAAATAGATTTTGAGATAATCCTAATAATATTTTACATCAAAAGTATATACCATGATAAAATTTGAAGATGCACCTTACCTCTACACCTGCCTACGGATGCATCCGTATGCAACCTGCGCCTTTAAATTTTTTTCAAATAAAAATTCTAACAAATTAAAAAAAAGACTGCCTAGTCTACTATTATTATTAAATACGATTTATTCTAGGATACCAAACAAATTATGAGAAAAAAACTAATATTTTAAATATACTTAAGGGTGTGGTTTGTATAAAGCTAAGGCTCTAAACAATCGAGACATATATTGACATCGTGTCCAAAGATGTTGTCCTGGTATTGGAAATCTTTGATATAGCTTGAAAATTTATTTTCATCTCTAATTATATGATTTAAATCTCTCGAAATAGTGTAGATTAAATAAACTGTATCGAAAATATGTTGTTTTAGGATTGGAAATATTCGTGATAGCCTGAAAAAAAAAATTCAAATCTAATTAGAAGGTTTAAATATCCCAAAATAGTGCAGATCAAGCAGATTTAGAAAATCTTGAAAATTGATGGTCCAGAAAATAGATTACAAGATACACAATTTTAAATACTTGAAATCATATCCATACATCTTCAGGTCGAGCTGATCCATATGAAATTTTTTGAGCATCAAAACAACTTATGCTGGTGAATTTGATGATAATAATAATTGTTATTATTATGTCTCTTCGGAGACATCCGATAAAATAATTGTTATTATTATGAGTCATTGAGAATCAACTGCTATAAGATAATCAGGCTGCCCACCCACTGATCCCTTTGGAATGAAATCAATATTTTATAGGAGAAAAAGAAAAATAAGTTAGAATAGATGAGCGCATTTGGGAATTAAATGAAAAAGCTTGAAACGAAATAAGACGTGGCTTCCCATTACACGATTTCGACCTTTTGTACGAAACTTATGCATGTGTATGACAATATTGTTTAGAACAAAGCATTTATGTAGGAAAAAGTTTATCTAGAGCCGAGGCTCTGACGATCGAATTGGAGCCTATCATAAAAATTTCACTAAAACATATTGTTTTGATGTCCAAATATCCTTCAATTTATCATCTCGACATCAAGATGCATGGGCATGAGAAAAAATAGATTTCAAGTTTTGAAAATAGTAAATTTTGTAACACATATTTGGACCGTTAATTTTCAATATTTTCAAGTTTTCATAGATATGTCGATCTACACTATTTTTTGAGCTTTAAAATTTATAAATACCGGTAAAAATATATTATAAAGCTATCACAAAGATTTCTAGTGTTGAAACCACATTTCTCAATACTATTTGAAGGTAAGCTCTAATTTGATTGTTTAGAGCCTAGGCTCTATAAAAACCCCACCCTTTTATGTATGGGTGCAAGTTTGTATAGAGAGAGGCTCTAAACAATGCCCACCTTCAAATCGAGTACTGGGGTTTTAATACTGAAAATCTTTGTGATAGCCTAAAAAAATATTTTTATCTTTAATTTTAAAATTTAAAGCTTAAAAAATAGTGTAGGTCGAACAGATCTTTAAAAACTTGAAAATTGACGAACAAAAAATGTGTTACAAGATGCACTATTTTTCAAACTTGAAATCCATTTTTTCTACGTCTTGACATGGTGATGATCAATTTGAAGATACTTGGGCATCAAAATAACCTCTTATAATTACATTTTTGAGGTGGACTCCAATTTAGTTATTTACTTCAGCTCTATAAAAAAATTTCTCTTTGTGTATGGGTGTTGTTTATATAGAGAGGCTCTCTACAATTAAAATAAAAGCGTACCTTCAAATAGTGTCGAGAAATGTTTCAATATGGGAAATCTTTGTGATAGTCTTAAAACATATTTTTATCTTTAATTATAAAATGTAAAGCTTAAAAAATAGTGTAAATCAAGCAGATTTATGAAAACTTTAAAATATTGAAAAGTGACGATTCAAAAATGTGTTACAAGATGTACTATTTCTAAAACTTGAAGTCTATTTTTTCTCATGTCTATGCATCTTGATGTCAAGATAGTCGACTTGAGGATTTTTGGGCATCAAAACAACCTCTTTTAATGGAAATTTTAAGGTTTGCCCTAATTTAATTGTTTAGAGCCTCGGCTCTATAAATGTTTTCTTTTTGAGGTGCGCCCTATGCATTTACATAAAAAAGCAGCCTCATATCGAACACTATTCGGGTCTTGGTCCGAGTTTGAGTATGGATTAAAGAGAGAGAGAGAGATGTGAGTTTGATAATGTCATAGCAACTGGGGATGGTGAGGACAGGGAGGTCCCATTGTTTTGTGATCAATAAACCAATAGTGAACATGAAAAGGACTCATTTGTAAGAATGAACTTTGTAACTGAGGATGAGGATGTTGCGTACTTATTTTACAATGCATAAGCCCAACAAAAGGTTTTAGCATTCGTCTTGAGAATCCAACGGAGGATAAGGAAAACAATTTGAGGATGCAAGCCTAACCGAGCATGTCCTGGTTGGTAAAAGACTTATATATAAAAAAAAAGAAACAAAAAAAAAAGTTTAAAGGTTTTGAATATCCATAAGTGTTCATAGATCTACTCAATATACACTATTTTTTAAATTTAAAATTTTGTAGGTAGATATGAAAATAAAATTTCAAGCCATTACAAAGATTTCTAAACAAAAATAAAACAAAAAGAGAAACGTCAACATAAAATCTAGGGCGATTAATGTTAAATTTGTTTGGAATTGAAAACTAATTTAACTATTATCCCATTTTGTAGTGCGACATGATTTTGGTGAGTCAACCAAGTCACCTGTTTATGTGAATCTTCTAATGTGTCCGTCTCTAATATGGACGTCAAAAACATGGTGCATCCACCATTTCTAATCCCAAACCATTCGCCACTTTTTTGTGTGTGTTTTGAGCGATGTAACTTCCAATCTGCCGACTCGAATGAAAACAATACGTGCTTGAAAGGCTTGCACTTTCGAATAGCAGCAAAATGATTTATTTTTTTTATGGTCTTTCTAAATTCATAAGATCGAATAAGCCCATTATATTTTATCTATTTATTTATTTTTGTGGGTGATTCGAAAGTGCACACCAAACTTAACCTTTCGATTGATTTTTTTTAGGGCAATTTCATATTTGCACTTTTTAAC